TATATATATATATATATATAAAGTTAAAATAACTTGTTATTTTCTATTTAATTTTTGGCCTAAATAAAGAAAGGACATTCACAAATTAAGTTGCATTATTTTGGAAAAAAAAATCAATATAACTTATTTTCTTATAATACCATCAATCTTGGTCATAGCTCTATCAATATCTCTGATGGAAATGGCCTAGAAAAGCATAAAAAAATGATTATTGAGTTGTCACATGTTGTCATTGTAACACCACTCAAATTTGACGTCTCAACAGTTCTACTCCACGATATTCACATGATGACACTTTACATATGATGGAAAACTCTTGGAGAATTCGAATGGTTTTGGCTTCTCCTTCAAGTTCGTCACTAGATCTTTGGCTTCTTATCTTCTCTTAAGCTTCCCCAAGGTCTCCAATGGAGGCAGAGACCTCTGGTTTCACCTTAGAAGGTGAAGAACTCTCTTTAAGTGGTGTCACTCCTAGAAGGAAGAAAAACCACTTCAACTTTCACCACACTCTTTAGGAAGAGGATAAGAGAATTGGATCCAAATCAAAGAGAATTTGAGACTTTAAGGAGAGAGAATTCAAAGAAAAATATCAGCAACTCTCAAATATATCATCCAAAGTCCCTACAAAATGGGAAAAAATTACAATATATAGAGTTTAGTTGACTTATGGTGCAAGCTAGATTAACCATGGTTAAATGTAACCATGGTTAGCTATCTTGTACTTAAGCTAACTACTCTAGATAAATCTCTATAAGTCTAGTTAGTTGTCTATAAGCTTATGGAGCAAGCTAATCTAATCCTAGTTTAAGAATAGTCTAGGTTAGCTTAAGTTAACTCCAACTACCTAACCTAATCATTACAAATACTAGACTAAGGATTACTTTTAACAAGTTTGTTGAGATGTCACTATCAAAGCCATGTGACTTAATTTGTAGCTTGGATGGCAAGCTTGACATGGTTTGGACGTCCAATCCACTTGCATGAGTGTCGCCACCCGCCGAAACGGACCTTGGCATT